TTTATAGTGTCACTTTTTCATGACCAAAGTCTAATTAGTGCAAAAGGAGTGTATTTTAAGAATTATTCTACAGCACGTCATGAAGTCAGACCCCAAAGAATTTTGTTTGTGCGTGACCTCTGATCTCAATTTTCCATTTTATAAGGCAGGCGCAGGCGCATCAGAATATAAGAGGTACATCGGACAAGCGTCACTCTCTAACAGTGATAATTGGGCTTAGTAAAAGGTTAAAAACGAAGTTATTCCAGTCCATCTGGATTAAACATGGTGTAATAAGTAACAAGAGTGAATATTGTTTGACATATGTACTTTTTCCCTTACAAAACAGACCCACACATTTCTATTCAAATCTCATCATATTGCGTTAGCCAATAAAACAAGGAGAACAAAGGTCACCTCAAAATTGTTTGTGGGGGTCTAAATACATATTATGAATGCAGAATAATGGTTGCATTATCATTCTTTGGCACGATTGAAGCTTGGGTCACGAAAAAAATTTTCAGGAATAAATCTGATAAATAGCGGCAACTAAGATATACAAAGTTCACTGACCTCTCTAAGGGCATGTTCCCACACCTGAAAATTCGATAGGTAGGCTGGGATTTTACAAAGGTAATGACCTCTCGTAAGGTCACCAGAGAATAAATATGAAATGGCATATATATGAACATTCTCTTTATAGCATGAACACCTTTCATTCAGACATGAATCGTTAAACAAGATTGGGTTTAAAGAGTACATTTTAGAAATAGCTATAAGCAGGTTTACAAAGATCACTGACCTCTCAAAGGTCACCAGAGGTCAGATATAAATTTGTCCCACATCTGACTATTGTTTTCTTTGTATGATGACCTATGACATACTTTGGTCATAGGAAAACCCTTCCTCGAAGGTGTAGTTGAAGACTGCGGTTGCGGGACAAATAAAAACAGAACGCTTCGTTGTTATCAGACCCGATAAGCTGTTGGAATTGCTGAAATTCATATTTAATGAAGCTAATAATTTACCGTGACATTTCCTCGTTGTCGCTCATTGCATTGAAAGTGTTGAGATAGCCAATGGAGGTGAAATAAAGGAGGCTTGTAAGACGGCGAGTGTGTGGACAGCACGGCAAGCATGGAAGGTTTATTCTAGAACTTATCTGGGGTCAACTCCCCGGCGCGCATGCGCATACATGGATACATGAATATGCATATCACTACAGAAAGTGTCAAGTAAACAAAATGAATTTTTCTTCGATCACGCACAATGCATTACCTACCGCCACGAAGTACGTCACCAAAGGACCCAAAATGTGAGTACAAGAAAAGTCACGATAACGTCAGATAAAAATCGATTGTTTACAAACTACAGGAATAGACTGAGATATCGTGTTCATTTTTTTTTCATGCTGATTGGTCTTAGGTTGTGAAACACATCGGTTAAAATGTTTACCTGACCTTGCATAATACAATTATTACAAGAGTAAATGAGATTTCTATTGAAGATAAATGTCAAAAGCATCCACTAAGATACCCTGTTCATATTGAGTAAACGCAATTTTGGAAAATTGTGTTTACTGGTTTGATGCCGCACGCACGAGACGAACATTAAAAGCGCATATTGCCTCATCCACTCATTATACATTTGTATAGTAAACAAGAATTTGTACTTGAATTTGAGTGGTCACGTGAGAGGGTTTAACCGATCAAAGGGAAAAAGAGTCCGATTTACGGTCCGATTTTCATGTGACACCGGGGTATCCAAATAGGTCACATAACAAACACAAAGTAAGTTTGCCCTACATTTGCAGGACTCACTCCAAAAGCACTTTGAGATATTACGGGCCGCGTCTCTGGAAAATGAACATTATATTCTCTGATTGCCGTATTTTATAATGTCACTTTTCCATGACCAAAGTCTAATTAGTGCAAAAGGAGTGTATTTTAAGAATTATTCTACAGCATGTCATGAAGTCAGACCCCAAAGAATTTTGGATGATGTTGGCTATTTTAAAGGCTTCTAAAAGAGATCTTTAATTTTTCAAATTGTGACAACTTCTCAAACTCTTCAACGACCTTTGATCTTTCTTTTATAAAAGTGTACTTACTTTGTTCTTTCATTATGCAATACTTTGTACTGTCTGTCCATTTGTCTGTCTTTTTGTCCGGTTCTCTTTTTGTTTCCTGTCATATTTGTATTGATCGGTATGTTTTTTTCCTGCAATTGTTTCCCTGTGTTTTAAGACATGTTTATACAAGCTTCAACTTCTTAAATTTACCTGCATTGTTTTTTATTCGGATTTTGCTTTAAAGTATTCTTATTTGATTTAATAATATTATATTTATATTCATAATGATTTGAAATTATGGTAATAAATGTCTACTTGAACTGAATAAAATATATATATATAAACGACCTGTTTCAACTTCAAAATTCATATTTCAAATTTGCATATCACCTCTTACAGCGATTGATACAGTCATACTGTCGATCAGCTCACCATCTGCGTCGAACGCTTGGCATTGTAGTGTCTTTCTATGGATGTCTCTGTTAATAAATGACACAACGACACAACTGCTAACGCTGAATCCGTCGATGGTGTCGATGCTTCTGTTACTGACTGGTTTCACTCGCTGGCCAGCCAAAGTCCACACAAGTTCTACAAAGAGAGATGAAAAGGAAGTGACAAAGTTGGGTTTTTTTTTTAAATGTGGCTGGGTCCATTTAACATAAATAACATAGGACTAATTTTCATGTTATTAACTATAGTAACTGTTGAAATTGCACGTTATTTGCACAAGTTATCTCCATTTTTACTACAAATACCACAAATGTCAGTTTTGATTGAAAATGCCTTTTAAATACAATGAACAAATTGGGGTTCATACCTCCTTAAACAAAAACTTGAAATGAAAAAAAGACACAAATCACCATCATCATTTCAGAAAGAAATTGATTTGTTCCTTATATTTCAAACACAAAATCTGGCATAAAATAATGTTCCAGTCTTGACTCAATATATTACAATCTCATTTGTATATTAATGCCTGTGTGTTGTCTCCGGTTCTCATTCGGCTGAATAGCTTCAAAGCGTTAATCATTTCACTGACAGCTGTAAAAAAAAAAAAAAGGGGGGGGTCCTTTTCGTAAGCATTCTACTGGTAGCATGGACCGATTTCAGTAATTCTTTTTTGTCACATGAGTGGAAAGACATGCTAGTTTAATACAGGTACATTCTGGATTGACGCATCGAACTAAACTGCTTGTTATGGGGAAATATTTATCCAGGTCACTTTCTTTTTGACTCACCCTGTACCTCGCGGTTGACGTCTAGTACAGTGCACGTAAATGGATGATCTCTTTCCGCAAGGACAGCTTCTCCACCATCTGAAGGAAAGTCTCCAGAGGCATCGAAGAGGAACATTCGAGGGATAACTGGGGGAAAGGAAGGATCCCAATAACGGAGACAGACAACGTAGTTCAATGGTACGAGGAAATGAATATAAGATAGAAATTTAGGTGTTACCAATCGAGTTAGCCGTTCTGATTGTGTTCGATAAAGATTGAAACATCCAGATGATTCGTTTTCCTCGTTCGTTTGAAAAGGCAATTTAAATCAATAAAGTTTCATCAATATGATTGATAATTATTTATCACTAACGCCAAGTTCCTTTCAAGTTTGAAAAAGTTCGACATTGTTAAGGTGTGATTGGCGTAAATACCGCGGAAGATTTTTGCAATAATTTACCGAATCCGGGGTAGTGGTAAAGTGTTTCAGGTTTGATTAAAAAGAAAGCAAATCATACCAGTATTTATGTCATCGATTGCAATGTACGACTCATAGCCGTCACCTTTGACTGCCTCAAGAGCAATTTGAAATTCCGATGTAGCATTTCTCACACAACTCCTGGCTTTTAACCAAACCCTTGGATTCGGATATTGACCGCTTCTGGTTAAGATGATTTCACCCTCGCTGATTGTGTGATTTACTGGAAGCTGGTACACATTGAGGGCCCCTGTCAAACCAAAACAAACATAATAACGACGAAATAAATCATTTATTAAACCTTTCTGTTAACTCATTGAAAGATTATTGTAGTTTATAATGCAGGGGTAATGATGTAGAATCTGAGTAAGTGTTTTTTTCATCATGAGGATTCTGCATCTGTATTCTGTTTTTGAATCGAATTTAAAGAAAATAATATCGTTATAGGGGGCTCTGGATAGAGATAGTACCTTTGCTGTCTGTCAGCTGCACTCTCTTGGTAGAGTGAACAGGCATCACTGGTTCTCATCCATCTCCTAAATCTCTCACGTGCTGGCTCCAAGTGCCACACCCCGGTATACCGCTTCAGCTGGCGGGCGAAACCACGTGAGAGGGTGGTGTCTACACTGCACCACTGGGCGGATGAGCTACATCAGACAGCCAACGACCAGGGCGGAGGAGGTCAACGTCTGACCCAACGGCCACGTGTAAAGGAGTAAACCTTCCAAATCAGGAGTGGAGCCCCGAAGGCGGAATGGTGCCTTGCAAACACCGTTTCGGCAGCTCCTGCAGCCAAGCTGGTGCCAAACGTCATGCTCGCATTCCTTTGGAACCCATCAGCAAGGCCGAGAGGGGGATTCTGACGCATGGGCAACCCAGGATCTCCGTACTTCATGCCCAGGCTTGCGCCCTGGAGAGGCCACTCCAGCCTCACCCTAGAGTGAGGAAACAACACGGCAGCTGGCAGTTACGGGTTATAAGTCCCATCCAATTGGCGTAGGAAACGGGGCGCCACGGGTCAGCTGCGACGGTGGGAGGAACCATTGCGTTCCATTGGTCGGCTACCGCCCGCCTCAAGCCGGGCAGCCCCCGGCCAGTAAGGTGTCGACCCGCCAACGTCCGTCTGCCTCATTGGGTGCTTGGGGCTTAGTGTAAAGCACGACAAGCGGACGTTAACACCGCACCAGACAAAAAAGGAAAGAATAAAACGAAGATGCCAGCTCTTCGCATATCAAGCTGCAATGTTAGAACCATGCGCACAGGGCTCTCAGACAGCCTTGACCACATTGACGACTCTCGCAAGACCGCCATCATCGACCATGAGCTCGACCGACTCAATGTTAGCCTTGACCAAGGCTATCAGTTGTTCCCATACGAACTTGTTCCCGCTACCGCACACCGCGACACAATCACTAGTTGTACTATACCGTTAGCCTCAACGACCCTTGCGTGTGCTTTATGTGCATATACGTACGCCCCACACACACTTCCGCAAACAGCCGTACGTACAGCAAGTCGAGGCGGAAGATAGCCTTGACGCAACCGTGGCGAATTCTTATGTGTTTCTTTATAGTTTCGACCGAAATCGGCCGAAAATTTCTGATGCGCATATATTACACGATATCCAATCAAAGCCCGTAAACTTTGACCCGCGATATACATATTCATGACCCGCAAATTACTGTATACACCACGTACATGTATGTTCACTCAAACCATGGTCCCATTTTAAACCATTTCTCCAGTTTTATTACAAACAAATAAAATATGCCGCTATATGAGTGAACAATTGTTCAAAATGATATATTTCCAATGTATTGCGAATTGGACATGCAGTTCAAGACCGTCCGCCGACATTTTGTCGGTGCAACAGCGTACATTATCACGCCGCTACCTGCCCGTGCTATTCTGCCGGACAGCGAATGTAGGGAATAGGTCAACTCGGACCCAGGTCAAATTGTACCCATTTAATCGAATGCAGGTTAACTCGTATCTATAAGCACCCGTATGAATTAAGTGCAAGAAACGAGCTATTGACTTTGGGATGGAAATATACGAAACTGTCAGGTACATGGTGAAAAAAAAAACTCTCCCTGAATTCGTACCATGTGCAACATACATGTACATCTCATACGTATGACACATGTATTTTAACGCGTACGTATGAATCGTATGTCGTACCTACGACATACGTACGACATGTAAGTCGTAGATGTAAATCGTACGAGATACAAGTCGTTCTCACAAGATATGTTGTATGTACGACATAATCGACAAACAAGTCGAACATACGAGTTACAATTCATATTTTGTACACACGAGATATTAAGTCGTACTTATATATACGACTTTGTCATATGCGAAATATATCGTACCCTGTCGACTCGACTTATGCACGACATATATGTCGTACCGGCACCTGTCGACATTATGTCATATGTTTGATATGTCATACCCTGTCGACATATATGTCGTAACCTGTCGATGATATTAGTCGTACCCTGTCAAAATATGTCGTACCCTGTCGATATATTAGTCGTACATACGACATATAACTTATAAGTTGTTCATACAAGTTAAAATCAGTCTTACAGAATAAGTTTGCTGAAGGAGAGATACCCCTCCCCCCCCCCCTAAAAAAAAGTCAGCAGTAGATACATACTCAATAGTGTAAGCGCTTTTTTGGCCGCTGAACGTGATTTCAAGCGCAGCGTGTCTCACTGCATGGCGCCAGCCGGGCCGGTGCCTACAGTGGACGGCCCCAACGTGGCCTCTGTGCATGGTGACATCGTTTTTGCCGGCGTGCGGTTTTGTACCGTTTGCCGTTTTTTGAAGGTCTAATTTTTTATCCTTTTCATTTCATTTTCGACCCAAACTATGTGTAACTTTATAAATATTATTCTACTATTATTTAAGATTTGAAGGGGGTGTTTTATAATTATTGTTACCACAGGCCGTCTGGTTTATAAACCTTTGGTCGTATTATGCAATTTAATAAATATTCATATTAATGGTCAGCCGTTATCCAATGAGAGAAGACTATTTACCATAGGGCGAACTTATTATCATATTCAGCATACACGGTTGCGTCAAGGCTATCTTCTGCCTCGACTTACTGTACGGCTGTTTGCGGAAGTGAGTGTGGGGCGTACGTACATGCACACAAAGCACACGCAAGGGTCGTTGGGGCTAACGGTATAGTACAACATTGTGTTGCTGCGCGAGCCGTGTGCGGTAGCGGGAACAAGCTCATATGGGAACAAGCTGATAGCCTTGGTCAAGGCTAACTCAATGTCGACATTGCTGCTCTCCAAGAGACACGGCTTGCTGACTGTGGTTCCCTTAAGGAGAAAAATTATACTTTCTTCTGGCTTGGCAAGAGCGCAGAAGAGACCCGAGAACATGGCGATGGCTTTGCAGTGAAAAACACCCTGATTGCCACAACTGTACCACCAACAGGAGGCTCCGAACGCATCCTTGCCATCCGTATATCCACCAGCAGTGGACCAGCCAATCTGTTGAGCGTTTACGCCCCAACCCTCTGCTCTCCCCCTGAGTCAAAAGACAAGTTCTATGAGGAGCTTGACACTGCCATCAGCACCATCCCAAAGAACGAGCACCTGTTCCTCCTGGGGGACTTCAATGCTAGGGTTGGCGCCGACCACGAATCCTGGCCAGACTGCCTTGGACACTTTGGAGTGGGGAGTATGAACGAGAATGGGCAGAGACTGCTAGAGTTGTGCTGCTATCATCAGCTCTGCATCACCAACACCTTTTTCCAGACTAAGCCATTGCACAGGGTCTCCTGGAGACACCCAAGATCCAAACGCTGGCACCAGCTCGACCTCATCATCACGAGACGAGAGACACTCAACTTTGTCCACTTCACCCGCACTTTTCATAGCGCGGACTGTGACACGGACCACTCCCTCGTCCTCAGTAAGGTCAAGCTACAGCCCAGGCAGATCCACCATGCCAAGCAGAAGGCACGTCCCCGCATCAACGCCAGCCGCTCCATAAATCCAACTGTCACCCAGCTCTTCCTCACCTCACTTGATCAAGCACTCTCCTCCTCCAATCAGCAAAGTGCTGTGGACAAGTGGAACTGCCTGCGTGACACCATTTATGACCAAGCCCTCGCAGCATATGACAAGAAAGTGAGGAAAAATGCAGACTGGTTTGAGGCCAATGGAGCGGAGATGGAGCCAGTTATCGAGGTCAAGCGCACCGCCTTCCTCAAGTACAAAGATAATCCATCGACGAGGAACCTTGAGGCTCTTAGAAAAGCTAGGGGCAAGGCCCAGCAAACAGCACGACGCTGCGCAAACAACTACTGGCTCAAACTCTCCTCCCGCATACAAGCCGCTTCCGACGCAGGTGACATCAGGGGTATGTACGAGGGGATCAAGCAAGCCACAGGTCCCTCCATCAAAAAAACAGCGCCTCTGAAATCCAAGTCCGGTGAAGTCATCACCGACAGCAGCAAACAGATGGAAAGGTGGGCTGAGCACTACATGGAGTTATATGCCACAGAAAACACAGTGTCAGAGGAGGCTCTGAATGGCATCGCAAACATGCCTGTGATGGAGGAACTTGACACGGACCCCACGCAAGAGGAGCTCAGCAAAGCCATTGACAGCCTCGCTTGCGGCAAGGCCCCAGGTGCTGATGGGATAACACCTGACATCATCCAACTTGGGAAACCAACCCTTTTGCCACATCTTCACGACTTCCTCTGCCTTTGCTGGAATGAAGGAGCCGTCCCCCAGGACATGCGTGACGCCAAAATCGTCACCCTGTACAAGAACAAGGGCGACCGCAGCGACTGTAACAACTACCGCGGCATCTCTCTGCTCAGCACTGTGGGGAAGGTCTTCGCACGCGTTGCCCTTATCAGGCTCCAGCTTCTGGCGGAGCGCGTCTACCCTGAGACACAGTGTGGCTTCAGGGCAGCAAGATCCACGGTGGACATGATCTTCACCCTTCGACAACTGCAGGAGAAATGCCGTGAACAGAGGAGACCTTTGTATCTCGCTTTCGTCGACCTCACAAAGGCCTTCGACCTTGTTAGCAGAGATGGTCTCTTCAAGCTGCTTGCTAAGATTGGTTGCCCTCCAAAACTTCTCAGCATCGTGACATCATTTTACAACAACATGCAGGGTTCAGTCTGTTGTGATGGAGAAACTTCAGAGGCCTTCCCAATCCGCAGCGGAGTGAAGCAGGGCTGTGTTCTTGCACCGACCCTCTTCGGGATTTTCTTCTCTCTCCTGCTGTCGTTTGCATTTGGCTCATCCCCTGAAGGCGTCTACCTACCCTCAAGAGCTGATGGCAAACTCTTCAACCTTGCCCGCCTTAGGTCCAAGACGAAAGTGACCAGTGTACTCCTGAGGGAAATGCTATTTGCAGATGATGCATCTCTAGCATCACACACAGAGACAGGGCTCCAGCAGTTGGTGGACAGGCTCTCTTATGCATGCAAGGAGTTCGCCCTTACCATCAGCATTAAGAAGACCCATGTCATGGGCCAAGAAGTCGAAACCCCACCCTCCATCTCTATTGACAACAAGACCCTAGACTGTGTGGGCACCTTCACTTACCTCGGATCAACAGTCGCCAGCAACCTGTCACTTGACGCAGAATTGAGCACCCGTCTTGCCAGGGCCGCCACAGTGATGGCCAGGCTGGCAAAGAGAGTGTGGTCTAACAAGAACCTAACTGTGCGCACAAAACTCCAGGTCTACCAAGCATGCGTCATCAGCACTCTGCTATACAGCAGTGAGGCCTGGACCACCTACACCAGACAAGAAAAACGGCTGAACAGCTTCCACCTGCGCTGCCTACGCCGCATCCTTGGCATCAAATGGCAGGACAAAGTCCCCAACACGGAAGTCTTGGAACGTGCCCACTCCACCAGCATGTTCGCCATGTTGAGCCAGCGCCGCCTCAGATGGCTCGGTCACGTCCACAGGATGGACTCCGGTCGTCTTCCAAGGGCCATCCTGTATGGCGAGCTTTCGTCAGGCTCCAGGCCAATTGGTCGTCCGAACCTACGATTCAAGGACGTCTGTAAACGCGACATGAGGCAGGCTGGCATAGACCCCAACAGCTGGGAGGAAGCCGCCCAGGATCGCAGTGCTTGGAGGCAGACAGTTGCCGCAGGGATCCACCGCGCTGAAGAGAGGCGCACCTCCTTGCTGCAGGAGAAGAGGCAGAGGAGGAAATTGCGAGTAGCAGCCCCCAGCCCTGAGTCAGTCCCCTCTCCTTTCGTCTGCGCTAATTGCGGCAGAGACTGTCATGCAAGAATTGGACTGCTCAGCCACAGCCGCCGCTGCAACAAAGACGACAATCCCCCGGGCGCAGTCCATCGTCAGTATTGACGGACGGATGCCTACTACTACTACTAATATCGTTATACCCTTTTTTGGTTTACATATTAAAAGCTTTCACATTTGACAAAGACATTCGAACCGACTCAAATCGGTAGAAATGTTATACTTACGGTATTTTTAAAATACTGTTTTTCCTAAATGCATTCTAGTTAGTCAGGTGGCTTTGAGCTCTTGTTTAAGTCGGTATTGTAAATAAGGCTAGGCAAAAACTAAATAGTTTGCACATGGCCTTGTTCTTTTAAACAAAAGGACAGACGTTTATATCCCTTATCATTCTAAATCAAATCGGTTCCTTTGGTAACCATAAAACTCTAAATACTTTTGTTCGGAGCCATGTTGACCCCTAATCAAATTTCATGCTAATCGGCAAAGGCGTTCGGTGAGGAGGTCTTGCAGAAATTTTCAAAAGGGGATTGTGTATCCCGGCCAATTTATAGGTTAACTTCTGTGGGGGGAGTATGACTTAATAAACCTTACACAATGATAATTGCTTTTTTGTTATTTAAAAAAACAATACAGCCAGTACGTCAATCGTAAACGTCCGCCACGGCACTTAGTGCAAAAACCATAGCGAGTTATTACATTTCATACAGACGTTTCTAGGTGATACCTAAGTAATCACTGGATAGTTTCTGAGAATGATGACATCAACATTTTGGTCATGAATGTGGAAATTTGTTTTAACATGAAATAATACACCCTTTAAGTTGCAATGCTTGGATTGAACATTTTAATTGGATGCAAAGAGTCATTGTAATCATACATGGTGAAAATGGTTTGAAAGCCTTACCCATGCCGGCGCGGCGTCCAAACACAATGTACCAGAAACTGAAACACCACTTGTTTACTGGCTGTTCTCTACTTGGCGAAACGACAGGGCTGACAAGTATAGCGGTTCTGCATCCATAATCATGTGACGCGCCACACACAATATAGTGGCCACTCGCATCTGTAAAGGGCAGGGATTTAATCATAGAGTAAACAAAAACAAATAATTTTGGACGAAATGTTGCATTGGTGATTGAAAGACGATCGGCAGATATTCTTCAAAATTTAGAAGAGGCATGAGTTTGCTTGTATTCCTTAAAGCGATTTATATGGTTAAAAAAACTTTTTTTTCGGCGGCCAAATTCTTTTTTTTTATGTTTAACTTCGAAAAAAAAATGGGGATAAAAATGTGTGAGCCCCCCCCCCCGGGCAAATCCTGGGTGCGCCACTGATTAATATCATTTTATTGCTGTGGTTATGTATCACCAACCTCTGCTGAATTGAAAACAGTACGCCTACGTGAAACCTTTATGAGACAGGTTAGTGTAGAACGCCATATAAATATTCAAATATCATACGACTAGGTCAGTGTGGAATGGCGTCCCTGGTCAACAAATCTATGATTTACTTACTTTTTTAGCAGAGATCGTATTAAGCAAACACAATTTCAACATGTCAGCTGTTCCTCTGCCTTCTTACCTTCAGGTTTTGCAGTCCTGAATTCATAACTTAGTAGACAGTTAACGATATTCACCCAGAAGTGGGGAGACAGATCATAGAAGATATGTGCCACCGTTTTGTAAAAAGGCAGGTGGATATGTAGAAGGTGATACACCTGACTTAAGGTGCTGGTACTTAACAAGTAAGATCACAATTTGACAGAAATCGTTTTTCCCCAATCTTATATGTAGGCTTGAAAGTATAATTCCCTTACTTCTCGATGTGCGCAGGTTTCAAATGAATGAAATCAAGACAAGAACGGAAAGCTTACGCCCCTTGATTTATGCTAAGACCAACGAAATGATTATTTAGCTTATAGTCTGGTCAAATAATTTGTGTTTGTTGGTAACCTATCTTTGGGACACTGTGTATAGATTAATAAAACATCACGTGATGCAAACACTCACTGCCAAACGTCCTGTCGAAATCTGGCCTAGTGTCATAAGGAGAAGTTGGCCCCTGCAGCAGCAGCCAGTTGGAGTTGTCCTCGTTCGATTGTCTCCAAACACAAAGCCCTTCCTCGAAGGTGCAGTTGAAGCCTGTGCTTGCTGTGATCAACAAAAACAGAACGCATCGTCAAAAAGTAATATAAGCGAATTAAAAACAAAATGGCAAGGATCCGGGGGGGGGGGATGGAGAGAAATAAATCAGAACGCAAAAAAAGTACTACCAAATCTTCTTATAAACTATCATGCCTCTTGTTGTTTAGAGGTTGCTTGTGAAAATTGCCTGAGTGACTTTGCTCAAGACTCAATGAAAAACAAAAAGTGATAACCCAGTGTCAGTGCGAAAACGTTGTTACTCAGTTTTGAGTCGTTTTGGGGAAAAAAAACCCGTATAAATAGGTTTCTGATGGCTCGTTGAAAGGTTGCGTTTCATTCGATAAAAGATAAAGTAACCTCAAGAAGACAATTTAGACAGGAACATGTTTAGTGTGTTGTAGCTGTGTTGTCTCTCGTAATGTTTGATAAAAACCTCTTAAATAAATCAGATCAACATACGACGTTTTCCTTGAGACGATGCGTCATGTAAACATTTGTCAAAACGTCGTAACTCGTCAAGATACGTCTTTTTGCATGAACACACAATACGACCCCATTACCTTAGCACCTACAGCTTAAACCATCTTCAGTCACGAAATATTTGATACTATATCTCGAAAACATCTCAGAATTGACCCCTATTCTTGTTAATTATTCCCAGTAGCAACGTATTCAGAGTACCAAAAGTCTTTAGTTCGATATTTCTATTTTTCCTTACTTACTTCATTTTTGTTTCTCGTTTTTTTTTTCTACTACACACTTTTTCACTACAACATAACATTATTATGTCTTATTTTCTTATTACATATATACACGGTGTCGTACTAGTGGACCTCACTGCTGCCTACGACACAGTGTGGATCACAGCCCGTTCCTGAAACTCCATTCCCGATCGGCGTTTAGTGCGGTTCCTCGCCAAAATCATTTCCAATAGCAGTTTTGTCTTCACAACAAGTGACGGGAGTAACGGGCAGACAAGCCGACCACGTCGCCTGAGAAATGGAGAGCCCAAGACTCAGTAGTGACCAAACCCTCTTCAATATCTACATTAGCGACCTACCACACACCACATCTAGGAAGTATGGCTATGCCGATGACTTGACCCTCCTGCACACAGATAGGAACTGCACAATGTGGAGAAGGTGCCCTCAGCTTATATGGAATACATCGCAGACTACCTGACGTCATGGAGACTCAAGCTGAGCGTTGCAAAAACTACCTCATCTGCTTTCCAACTAAACACTAAGGAAGCCTATCGCCAGCTTACTCCCACCGTAACGGGTCTCCTCTGTCCTACAATCTACATCCCACCTACCTCGGGGTTAGACTAGACCGGCAACTCACCTACAGGAAACATTTGGAAGCCCTCCGTTCTATCGTTTCAGTGCGTAACAACCTCCTGCGTCGGCTGGCTGGATCATCATGGGGTGCCAGGACATCCACCCTTCGAACTGGTGCTCTTGCCCTCGTATACAGCGCTGGCAGGTATGCCGTCCCAGTATGATGCCGCAGTGCCCATGCCAGTAAGCTTGATGTGACCCTCAACGAAACCATGCGGATCACCACTGGCTGCCTACGCCCTACTCCAACGGACCTCCAGCCTGTTCTTGCAGGCATTGCATCTGCAAAGCTTCGTAGAGAGTGCCTCACAGACAGGCTTGTGTCAAAGGCCGAGGCAAACGCTGATCACCCTCTGGATCAGCTGATCCAAGATCCACAGCAGCTTGGTGGTCAACGCCTTACCTCTCGTCGCCCTTCTCCCGTTATGCTGCAGCCCTTTGCAACTCCAACTTCACCTTGTGTAGTGACTGGAAGGCTGACTGGGAGCAGACTGTTCGACCTGACCAATTAACTGTGACCCCCGACACCACAGCCCCACCCGGTTTAGCCTTGCCTCGAAGGACTGGGTCAACCTGAACCGCTTACGTACAGGAGTCGGTTGGTTCAATACCAGCATGTTTCGTTGGGGCCTACACCAATCAGCAGCCTGTACGTGTGGATCTGACCATTGATGACCTTCAAGGGGTCAATGAACTTCTGCATATCATATTTTATAGATAATAATACTATTCAAATCACCACTTATTTATTACCCATATCTAAATTTTGGGTATTGCTGCTCTGATATTAATGTTCAGATATGTAGACATTTCATATTTGACCTCTGATAACCTTTGCGAGGTCAATGAACTTTATATTCTCTGATTGCCGTATTTTATAAAGTCATTTTTCATGACACTAAACATTGTTTTTTTGCGTGACCTCTGATCTCAATTTTCCATTTCATAAGGCAGGCGCAGGCGCAACAGAATATAAGAGGTACATCGGACAAGCGTCACTCTCTAACAGTGAAATTGGGCTTGGTAAAAAGTTAAAAACGTAGTTATTCAAGTCCATCTTGATAAAACATGGTGTAATAAGTAAGAAGAGTGAATATTGCTTGACATATGTACATTTTCCTTTACAAAACAGACCCACAGATTTCTATTCAAATCTCATCATATTGCATTAGCCAGTAAAACAAGGAGAAACGAGGTCAGAGGTCACCTCAAAATTGTTTGTGGGGGTCTAAATTCATAACATGATTGCAAACTAATGGTTGCATTACCATTCTTTGGCACTATTGAGGCTTGGGTCACGAAAAAAAAAATGTGTTTTCAGAAATAAATATAATAAATAGCGGCAACTAAGATATACAAAGTTCATTGACCTCTCTAAGGGTATGACTGCGTCAAATATGATGTCCCCACACCTTAAAAAATCTTTTCATGGCACAAATAGTTTAGTTTTAGACTTGGGTCATGATCCAAAGTGGCATTTACAAATGTGAAAATCGTATTAATATCGATAGGTAGGCTAGGATTCTACTAAGGTCATGACCTCTGGTAAGGTCACCAGAGAATGAATATGAAATGGCCTATGTATAAACATTCTCTTTTTAGCATGAACACCTTTCAT